AATTATACAAATAAAAATCACACGATTTCAAAACACTACTAAATGAGACAAGATAAATACAATTACAAGGTCATCAACATAATGATTTTAGTCATACTAACATGGTATTCATTAAATCCCTAACTTAACAATGACATAGTCAAATATCACAACACAAATAATGACAATAATAATTCTAGATCAACTTAGTAACAACAACAAGAAGTACTAGAATTTCATTATCTACTAAGTGAAACTACAACAATACAAGTAAATGATCACATATCAAACTTGTATAAAAATGACACCCTATGTTAGATATCATCAATATTCATCTAATACAACCCTCAAACATCATATTACATGTATATAATTTATATCAACAACAAAGGAAACAAGAAACAACAACAAGAGTATAAACATAGGATAACCCCTACCTCACTAGAGGATTGTTCCTCTAGAATTCAAGGCAAGCGAACTCAAAATGTAAAACTAAGAAAAGGTGTTCTAGATCAAGAAGATAAGAAGCTTTGGTCTTCAAAGTGGAAGACCAAATTCCTCAAGTAAGGGGGTCGAATTTCATAAATGGTGGCTGAGGTTTTTGGATTTTTTCAAACTGCTCATTAGATGTTTGTACCTCTAGAATCTGAAACAAACAATGTCAAAATGAAAAACTGGAAAAAGGTGTTCTAGATATGGAAGAGATGAAGATTTAGTCTTCAAAGTAGAAGACCAAATTTGTAATACCCCTAATTTTAAAAGAATAGTCCAAGTATTTATTTAATTATTTTAATTGTATTTTTAATTGTTTAATTACATATTTTATTGTTTAATTGATTATTTGGCTAATTGCTTATGTTTTTAATTGATTTAAGTGTTACTTGATTTTTTGGCTATTTGTCTATGTATTATTTGTATTATTTATTTAATTAAATTGTGTGCGCAAATGATGTGAATTAATTGTAATTTTATTTGATAGATTAAATGTTTATTTTATTTTATTTTTAGTTTAAAAGGATGGATATGGATAGTAGTAATGGACCAACCAATTGGTTCGCATAAAGACCACCCTAGTGTGCACTATCTCAATTGGGGAGAACTCATACCTTCCGCACTAGAGCCAAACTCTAGCCATATCACAGTAATAATGTCCCAAGTGACTCCAAAATAAATAAGTTAACAATTTATATACGTATTAAATAGTACACGAAACTACCTTCATGCACAAGTAGGTTGGAACCACATAATACATGATCTAAATCCACAACTACTATAGGATGACAATGTCGAATCTTCTGAGTGCGATTCGTTACACGCTATAACAACATCACACGTCGAATCTTCAGTGTGCGATTCGTTACACGCTATAACAATATAATTCAATATTGAAATATAATCTCATAAATCCATTACAAGTCTAAAATCATGCGTCAAACATAATATCAATGTCAAACACATGATTTAAATCAGTAATGCAATAGAATCGAAAATTAATCAAGTAAACTAATTAATTTCTCTAAGTTTCAAATCTCAACCAAATGGTCCCTAAATAAATACATGTTATACAACATAGCTTGATCATTACATATATCAATACAAAAACTTGATTAGACCATTTGAACAATAAAATGGAATTTAACTAAATCATGATAATCAAATCCCTAAATTCTAAAACAATATCAAATAGTCCCAAATTAACATATGCTAGTATACAAGTCCTAGTCATCACAAATACCAAGTTAAAAACTTAATTAGGCCAATGGAACCTTTCAATAGATTTTAATTAATCCTATTAATTAAAATCTCTAAATTTTCATACTTATCCAAATGCTCTCAAATTAAAGTATGTTAAAGAACATGCCTAGAATTAATTTAAAATCATATCACAAGTTAATTTCATGCAAGGTACGTCCATGAGAATTAAACTTTCACAAAAGATAATTATTAAATAAAAAGTACAATTCTTATTCAAATAATTCCAATTTAATATATGTTAACAAACATATCAAAGTATAATTTATCATCATGCCATAATTCAATTCTAAGCTATATACATCCTTGTAAATTAAATCTTATACAATGAAATAAATATTACTAATTTTCTAGATTTGATACAAGGCATGCAAATAAGTTGTATAATCATAGAAAACACTCAATACAACACATATAAAATCCTAAAACACCCCCTACCTCCGTTTGAGATGAAATCTCAAATCTCCACCGAAATGAAACTGCTCTGAATCCGACAAAACTTCTAGGTTTTGTAGAGGACAACAAGGTGATCATTAAACACCAAGGAATTACCATGAAAATCCAAACTTGGCTTCAAACCTGAACTCGAAAAATGGCCAAAATTGAACTCTAATAAGGGGGAAAGGTAAAGCACGTCAAGGCGAACATAAAATACTAAGGCACTACGACTTTTTACTAAAGGGAAGTGGCCGGAAAAGAAGAGAGAAGGGTGGTAGCCCCTTGGCTGCCGGCCAAGAGAGAGGAGAGAGAGAGAGAGAGAATTTGACTTTTTCTCTTAAGACCCCCTATTTATAGAAAAAGCCTAAAAGTGTCCTAAAAGGGCCCCGCCGGGTCCGGAAAAGTGGAATTTGAGCAAACGCACTCAAACGGCAAAACTCCGTCAACAAAAGAGAACCGAAATAAGAAAATATGAATAACAGAAGAAACGACGTCGAAAATTAAGTCCCAAGCAGTGAGATATGCCCCAAACAAGTTTGGCGGCAACTAGGGTTAGAAACCCTGAAAGTGGGAAAAACGATCAGAAGAAAATTCTAAGAGTACACGATTCGACGAAAAGTGAAAATGAATCCCGTACGAGAATCCAGACTCAAAATAAGGCATTTAGCAATAACTTTCATTAATTGCACAATGGCCCCTCCAAAAAGTGAAAACTACACAACTGGCCCAGAATGAAAATATCTTCCCAAAAATATTTTTTGAAAACCCCTGAAATAAAATATTTTCAAAAGATATTTACGAAAAATACCCTAAGAAAAGAAAAAGATTCTGAAAAACTGTGCATCCATGCTCCTATGGACACCGAAAGCAACCAGAGTACTAGTCTACAAAAGTAAAGATACGTATTTCGTGAAAACCACTTTGAATGAAGATATGTGAAGTCAAAAACCAACTCCGAACACAAAAGTGTGGTTATGCCAACAAAGTGACAAACGGGGAAAAGACAAAACAGGGAAAATGACGAAAAGTGAATAGTGTCGAAAAAATGAAAATGTGGAAATGACGCGGTCCTCAAAGGAAGTTGTCAACCTAAGGAAAAGAGTCTCGGAAATCATTCCAGAGCACTCGAGACGGCACTAAGTGACGAGAAACCGAACTCAGAAAGGAAAAGATCAACGGAAAAAAAATATCCGTGAAAATCTGAGAAAAAGGAAATGAAGGAAAATGACCGGGTCATTACAAGATATGTCTTTGTTGCCTTGATATACGGCCATTACTTTGGATTGTGTAACTTGAGTTAATGTGTACACTGGAGTAATGTAATCTCATTGGCAACAGGGGCGGACCTAGAACTTTAGGTAAGGGGGGCAAGGCTGAAATTTGTAATAATTTCAGGGGGACATTAGCAATATTTTAGGGGTATATATTGAAAAAAAGAAAAAATAACATGGTATATTAGTAAAAAATAAAAAATTCAGGGGGGGGGGGGACCCCCCACTTGCTACTAAGTCCGTCCCTTATTGGCAATATATGGTTTATTTCGTAAAGATGATGTAATTGAGGCCATAAAACCATTTTATTTTTAGTGTATGGATTACATTTCATTGCATACTCAATGTATGATTTCACATACTCATTGGTTCACATTTGTCCTTGTCATGCGTAGATATTTAGTTTGGACATTTTTATCATGTTTCAGATTCATTTTGAGATCATATATAGGCATAGGTATGATATAAGGTGGCCATGAACCTTTCTGCAGGGTCATTTTTCTAGTCTGTTTTGGTTAGGATCAATCTTTGGTCAGTGGGATCAATCTCAGATTGTGTCTCCAAGTGCCTTTTTCCATTCTATTTTGTAGGGATCGATCCCAGGTTCAGTGGGATTGATACCACACTTTTCACATCACTAGGATCGATCCCACACTTTTCTTAGCACTGTTTTGTGCAATGATTTTCAATGGCCAAAGCTTGCTCATCTTAAATCCAAATTAGGTCATTTTTAAGTTCAAATTGACCATATTGAAATTAGATTTCCAATGGTACCGGTCTCACTTCAAAATTACATCCATGGAGTGAGTTATGATCACTTTTGTGAGACATACTAATGAAATCTTTTAGTCCAAGGATGCCTTTTATATATGGCGAATCCGTTCCTTTGATGTTTGGGACTTCATATAATGTTATTATATGATTGATTTGATCTTTGTACTTTATTTGATTAATCTTTGGGGTCACATTAGCCATGTGCTATTGTGGGTCATCGCTTCCGCATTTGTGACCGTTTTTGATCCTTTATCCTTAACTTCCGTAGTTACTCTTGAGTGTGAGTCTCATTGACTTTATTTGTGATTCCATTGTTGTCTTGGAGATAGTATTCATCTCTAGTGATGTCTTTATTTGTTTTTGCTTCTGCATTTGGACTCGATATTAAGTTGGGTTTGGATCTCTTTGGTTAATGCACTGGATAATGGGATTTGGGGTCAGCTTAAAATGCCCTCCAAAACTTCACTTTGTTGCAAAATTTCCAATATTGATTATGAAAAAGGTAGAAACCTGGGTTCGATTCCCGGCTGGTGCATTAACACACATAGCTGTAGCTTTATATTTTTATGTACATACTTAACCAACAAAAAAAAAAACAAAACGAAAAACAAAAACAAGGGACAATCTGATAATTAGCAACAACTGCAAGCCAAAGTATATGTAATAAATTTCCTTTTTCCATGTCCCCTGGAAGTTCACCCTTAAAAACCATGAAATAGTAAAATCGGGTCTTAATACCAGTTTTACGTAATTATTAGCCCTTTCTTCTCTGCCCCCTTCACTTTCCATAGGGGTTTCTTTAAACTCTCTATTCCTCTGTCTATATTCTGCTCTTTTGCATTTACCTTAAAACAGAAGCAGAGAGCAAGAGAGAGATCGCAGATGGCTCGACAAGCCACAAGACTTATCCCCAACTTGTCTTCAAAGCTTTGCCCCAACGCACACCACTCTCTCTCCTCGCCTTGTCATTCTTTGTCGCAATCTCGCCATTTCGCGGCGGCTCCTTCACCTCCTCCGGCAGTTTTCGTCGACAAGAACACTCGCGTCATCTGCCAAGGCATCACCGGCAAGAATGGCACCTTCCACACCGAACAGGCCATTGAATACGGCACTAAGATGGTAATATATATATATATGTATATATATATATGTATAGTTTTGGTTTACTTTGATCTGTATATTTGTGAAATGTCTCTGTTATAGTATTCTATTTTTAATTGTGATACGATTGACTTACTGGTTTATGGTGTTAATTTGTGCGATCAGTCTTTCTCCCAATTTGTGGATCTGAAATTGGGTTATTTCTTTGATTAATTTGAAAATACATTAGGATTTAGTTGTTGTTCAGAGCAAGTTAATTTAGTCATTGTATTAATTTTGGGTCTGAAGACTACGACAGCTAAGAAGAAAGAATAAGACCAGTACAACAACAAATAGGGCTGCAAATAAACCTAGCTGAGCCGAGCTTGATTCTGTTCTGTTCGGTGTGTTTTTTTGTGGGCTTAGCTCTGGCCTGGCTTGGGATCATGAAAAACTTGAAAATCTGAGCTTGGTTTTGGCTCGTCATTACTTTGAAAAGCTCGGACTTGGCTTGGGGTCAGTTCGTTTAATAACAAAATTTGTTTGGGCTCGGTTTGACCGTCATTTTGCTCATTCATGAACTTATTCGAGCCTACACAAGCCTATGTTCATGAACATACAAACCTATGTTTATTTAACGAACGAGTCTTAGATGAGGTGTTTGTGAACAACTTCGTTCATTTGCAGCCCTAGCATCGTTTGTGTACATAATGGAGTATATATTGACTTTCTAAATTAATGAAGTTACGTATTACATTGAGTGATTTCAGTACCTTGCCTAGGCAGGGGTTTAGGACATGTTCGGGGTGATGACTTTTATGCATTACAAGTTTACTGACTCCTTAGTTTCATAATCAAATGTATTATTACCTTGAGTCCTTGCCTTTATTTTTAAAATTTTCCCAGTTTGCACTGGTTAATTCTTTGCATGCTGGTTTAAATTTCTGCACTAGCATTCTTAATGCATGATGTCACAATTTGCACTGTACAAGGTTTATGCGTTCTGGCATCTAGAGCACGTTTGAAGACCTAGAAATGCCACCACATGTTTCCTCTTGCTGTCCAATTTTTGATGAGATTTTGAGTCTTTCACGAGCACAATGATACTTTAAGAATTTTGACATTGACATAGTTGGCTTCTTTATTTCCTTCTTTTTGAGGTTCACCATAAAAGACATCACAATAAGTAAGGCTATAGTGTATCACTAAGGCATGGACAATCTCTTCTCAAATTGGAGCTTTGTGGGTAGGCATAGTATGGGTGACACTATCTACCAATGCCATGACATCAAGTGAACTTAAGATGCCGAAAATCCTTAGGGTTCATCTAGGTGAAAAATTTCCTTTTGCATTTGATTGTGAAGAAATCTATTTTCTTTGAATCTCTTGACAGTCTTCATGTTCTTAATTCAATAAATATAAAATTATAGCTGAAGGAAATCTCCCTTCACATACTGAAAACATGAATAATATGTTTCTTGAAAATGGCCTACTAGATTCCAATGTTTGCGCAAACTTGATTTTAATTCTTTTTCCCTTCACTTTCCTTTGAATAAGGATGTTTTAAGGCTTCTCTCTCTCTCTCTCTCTCTCTCTCTCTCTAATTCTTATTTTTAACTTCTTATTTTCTGAGATAGGTTGGTGGGGTTACACCAAAGAAGGGTGGAACAGAACACTTGGGACTTCTAGTTTTCAACACAGTTGCAGAAGCAAAGGCTGAAACAAAGGCCAATGCATCAGTGATCTATGTTCCCCCACCTTTTGCTGCAGCAGCTATTATGGAAGCAATGGAGGCTGAATTAGATTTGGTTGTTTGCATCACGGAAGGAATTCCTCAGCATGACATGGTATTTTTTTTATTTTTCCTAAACCCATGACATGGTAATTTAATATCTTCCAATATATATTTTCAACCCTTTGATAGAATGGTTCCTTTGCTGATTATAATGTGGTGTTTGATTAGTTTCTGAACTGTAGACTGATGGTGGAAGAGAAATTAAAAGAGTTTTGTGGTATACAATGAGACAAATAACACAGTTGTTAATATCTCTGAAGTAATATATTGTTTTCTGAAAAGCACATTCCATAGCAAGATAATCTCTACAATGTTTGGATTTAAAATTTGTTGCAGCAAAAAATTATAAGGATATATAGTGAAAACAAATTTATTGCTCTTGTGCGTTTTCACATTGATATGGCATTGGCAATTGGATTTATCCACCTTTCTACTTTGCCAAGAGTTCTGTATCAGCAGTCATGTAGCTTAAAAAAAAATCATGATTGAGGCATGTGGATGAGATTGTTGCTTTCTATGGATTTCATTTGATTAGGTTATAGCTGAGGGGTTAGTGGATGCTCCAGAATGGGATACTCAAGGGGAGATCCCTGAGGTGTGGTCTTTCTACAGGATGATTCTTGTTAGTCAGTGATGGGGGTTCCCATGCTATTTGGCACGTCAAACCTTCTCCAAAGTTGCTTTCTTTAGGGTGGATGATAGTGTTTGGGAACATTCTAATCATTTTTTTTTAATCTTGAATGTGGTTATTTATATCACAAAATATACAATAATTACAAAAGAAACTAGAGGAAAACCACAAAAATTAAAAAACAGAAGCCCACAATGAGGGCATTCTAATCATTTGTAACCTGATGAATAAGAGTATCATTGTTAATTAGCTTGACATATGGAAAGAGGTGAAGAAATGGTCTGTGGGCTCCTTTGCTTGTTCAATTTGGATTTTTTAGGTATGTTATATTGACACGGGTTCGTGTGTTGGGTGTGGGCATATATCCATGTGTCGAACGTGTCAAATCTCCAAATAAAAGGACACATGGACACTGATAAATATTCATGTTATTTAATATTTTTATTTTATTTTCTAGAGTGAAATGGTTTATGTAATATAGTGTTCAATATAGGCATTTTAGTTGTTTTGAAGCTTATATATTACAATTGAACTTTAGATATGATTTTGGGTGCATGTCAAACCAAAAGTATTATGAGAGAGACCACAGGCCATAGTACCTCCAAAGGTATAGCCGGCATAGAACTCCAGCGAGTACATGGCTATCTTAAGTTGGAATTATGAAACTCTTCCTCGATGAAGAGGACGGTGATGGTGAAATGGACGGTGAGGATGAAGAATGCAACATAGGGTTCCGATTCATGGTCAGATTGTCCAAATCGACGAAACTCTTTGAAGCTGACAACGAAGGAGTATAAAGGAAGGTTGGGATGAGAGATCTGCGAGATGGATCTGCGAATGCCATTAGAGGTGATTTCTAGGGTTACAGACTGTTTCTATTAGCATTTATGATACCACGATTTATGGTATAACTTACCATAATAGCCGAGATATGATAGGTCCAAATCATGGGATGTGATTTACCATATTATCTGTGAGATATGATAGCCACAAATCATGTATTTGACTTTATTTACGCATATGTCTAGGCATAGAATATGCAATGATTTGATTTAGTTTCCTTTCTTGTAATATGAGCATGTGCTCATTTTATCTATAAATACTAGAGCTGTGAATGGGTAATTCATCTCATTCAAGCCTTTACGCAATTCTCTCTTTTCTCTTTTTTTTATATATTTCTACTTGGTATTAGAGCCAACACCTTTCCACACCTTTCAGCAGCCTTGCTACTTGTGCGACAGCTACGTTAGGCTGTTTGTGACATCGTGTGATGTTGCCTACACATGTTTTTATGTGTTGCTGTTTGGTGATAAAAAACAGGTATTTTTAAGTTTTACAATTTCTTTTTCACTCTTCTAGGGTTGAGTAAATTGGGATAGTTGGTTTCTAACACCTAGAAGGGCTTGGGTAAAAAAAAAAAAAATAGTTTACAAAGAGGTTCCGAATATTAAGAAAGAGGCTGTCTGGCTATATGTAAGCGGGCAGCGCTCCTTAAAAAGGTATGTATTTGGATTTTTCGGGAATAGTCTGAGGAGACATTGTTTATGGTCTGAGGAGACCCTTTGATTTATTAACAGAATTTGTGGTGTTTTTGGAGTTCTTTTTATTGTCGTGTGACAGATTATGGCAGATTCAGGGTCCTCGACTATTAATTCTCTTGGCTCACTTTCTGTGTGTGGTGGTGCCATTTTTCCCACCAACTCATCAGAAAATCCAGGACTTCAAATCACCACAGTGAAGCTGGATATTTGGGCACAGTCTGCCAAGATGTTCATTGGTGGCAAAGGCAAGATTGGCTATATTACTGGTTCTGAGAAAGAGCCAGCTGAGTCAAAGAAGGCATATCCACAGTGGTTTGCAGATAACGCTATGGTTATGTCTTGGCTAGTCAATTCGATGCAACCAAACATAGCTGTTGGCTATATGTTTATAAAGACTGCTAAGCAGATTTGGGATTCAGTTCAACGCACTTATTCTCAGAGGCAGAATAATGCACGAATTTTCCAGCTGGGGCGAGATATCACCAGGATTTCTCAGGGTGACTTGACAGTTTCAGGTTACATCGCCAAGCTTCGTGCTATTTGGGAGGAGATGTCATATTATGATTCCTTCCACTCTTGGAAGGATCCAGATGATGCAGTTTTATATGCAGGAATTGTGGAGAAGAATCGAGTGTTTCAGTTTCTTGCCGGGTTGAACGACAAGTTTGAGTATGCTCGTGTTCATTTATTGGGCTTATCTTCATTCTCTACTCTTGAGGATGCATATTCTTATGTGTTGTCAGATAAGAGCCGCCGGACTCATCCATTAGGTGTTGTTTCTGTTGATCGTTCTGCTACGGCAGTTCGGATTTCCAACCTTTCAGGAACTCCACCATCCCAGTCAGTTCAGAGCACTACCACCGGTCCTCCTCTGGGACGATAACGTGGACGGTGTGACCATTGCGGAAAAATTGGTCACATCAAATCTCGTTGTTATGCTCTACATGGACGTCCACCGCAACAGAAACAACAGCTCGATCCTCTGCACATTTTGTTACACAACCAGTCTCGTTGTCAACTCCTGACAACCCTGCCTCTACATCTTCTGCCACAGTTACCTTGACTCAAGCTGATTTGGACAAGTTCAAGCAATTCTTCAACCAAATGGAGGCATCATCTTAGCCAACCTCCACTTATGCCCACTCAGGTATTATTGCATCTGCACATAGCGTATCTACATCTTCAACACCATGGATCATTGATTTTGGTGCTTCAGACAATATGACTGGTATGTCCTCACTCTTCCAATCTTATAGTATCTGCTCTGGCCAACGCAAGGTCCGCCTTGCGGATGGCTCTCCATCTTCCATTGCTAGGAAGGGTCACATATCAGTTACTCCTTCATTAACTTTGTCAAATACACTTCATGTTCCAAAGTTGACTACAAATCTTATTTCTGTTAGTAGCGTTACCAAACAATTAAATTGTAGTGTAACGTTCTTTCCCTCTCATTGTATTTTTCAGGATCTGGTGTCGAAACTGACGATTGGCAGTGGGCGTGAAGTGGACGGTTTATACTTGTTGGATGCTCCTTTGTCACCACAAGCACATTCAGCTTCATTTTCTAATATTGTTTCATCTAATAAAGCCCAGCTTATGCGTTGGCACATGCGTTTAGGACATATTTCTTTTGGTTATTTGAAACATTTATTTCCTTCCTTATTTTGTAACGTGGCAGTGTCAGATTTATCCTGTGAAACATGTCATATGGCTAAACATGTTTGTTCCAATTATCCTGCTAGTAGTAATAAATCTGCTTTAACACCTTTTGATCTTGTTCATTCAGATGTGTGGGGTCCTTGCTCAGTTACTTCTAGTCTTGGATTTCGATATTTTGTGTTGTTCATCGATGATCATAGTCGTATTACTTGGGTTTGTCTTATGAAAACCAAAAATGAGGTATACACCATTTTAAAAAATTTTATGACAATGGTTCAGACTCAATTTGGTCATACCATTAAAAAATTCCGATCTGACCAGGGTACAGAGTACATTTATGGGGAGGTAAAACGGTTATGTACAGAATTTGGGATTGCGCATCAGCTGGCTAATGTTAAAACTCCTCAACAGAATGGTCGTTCTGAGAGAAAGAATCGCCACATCCTTGACTTAACCAGAGCAATCTGCATAGGCATGAATGTTCCCCCGTCATTTTGGGGAGATGCAGTTCTTACCGCTGTTTACATCATTAATAGGACTCCTTCTAGGATTCTTAACTTTGCAGCCCCACTCTCAATCTTACATCCCAATTCATCTCTATTTTTGATTCCTCCACGAGTTTTCGGGTGTGTGTGCTTTGTTCAGCAGTTGGGGCAAACTCGTACAAAGCTTGACCCCAAGGCTTTGAAGTGTGTGTTTTTGGGCTATTCTCACTCTCAAAAAGGTTATAGGTGTTACCATCCTCCCAGTCGTCGGCGGTTTATATCCACGGATGTTTCTTTCTTTGAGCATACACCATACTATAGTGGTTCAGTTGGTTCTCAGAGTGAATGGTTCCCATTGAATATAATGGATGATCACCTTCTTCCGTCTTCAACTCCTCTACCATTACCTGTTTCTTCTTCTATAATTCCTCCTCGTGATACCCCTCTAGCAAGGGGAATTGTTCCTTTTTCACAGGTTTATAATCGGAGACAACAGGTACAAGCTTCTACTCCCACGATCGACTGCCTGTTCCTTCGGCACCAGCTCTGCCTTCTCAAGCTATTGTTTCGCTTGATGATCGCCCCATTGCTCTTCGAAAGGATAAACGTTCTTGCACTTACCCTATTTCTAATTTTGTTTCTGATTATGCTCTCTCACCCTCCTATCGGAGTTTTCTTGTTTCTGTTGCCTCGGTTTTTGTTCCTTCCAGTGTTGCAGATGCGCTAGCACAACCTC